ATTTGTATCTCCCTTTTTCTAGAGCATGGGCTGCCAACATCATTATATTTACTTATTTTTTTAATCTACAATGCATACAAAGTTGTTAACACTACAAAATGTAGTATGAAGAAGTCACCACGTTTTTTTTTAGACTGCAGGTATATAGCAAAAATACTGTGTTTAGAAGTTACCAGACTTTCCACTCCCCCACAACACTTCAGTGTGGTTGTGCTATTCACTTGGAATTCAGTTCAATTCATTTGTTTCTGATAGTATTCAAATTTAACTTCTCTTCTTGTGGTTTCATTTTATTTTTTGAATATGGAAAGCATTAACGTGATTCCAAAAGTGAAAACCATATTAAAAAGGTATACTTAGCAAAGTGTCACTCCTATTTCTACCTCTTTACCTCATTCATATCCACATCTTGCAGGTTATTGTATTGCATTGTATTGTATTGTATTGTATTGGGGAACAGTGTGTTTTTCCAGGCCCCATCAGCTCCAAGTCAAGTAGTGATTTCCATCTGGTTGTGGAGGGCACAGCTCAGTGGCCCATGTGGGGATCGAACTGGCAACTTTGTTGTTATGAGCACTGCACTCTAAAAAACTGAGCTAACCGGCCACTCCTTGCTGGTTCTTTAATAGTGTTCATTATTCCTCTTTATTTTGTCTTACTTTATTTGTTACTATCTAGTTAAAAATGATTTCACTCCTTCCTATTGCATTTGCAATAATCAACGTTGCCCTCTAACTCCTTTTTCCTACCAATTCTCTCATTGCATTCTTTCTACTTTATCAGAGCATATCATGGTCACGTACTATTCTTTCACTCATGCCTGTATCCTTATTTCAGCCTCTTTAATGGATGATGCTCATGGAGGTTGGTCTTATTATTCTTTTTTACTTCTATAGCATCTTGAAATTTTTCCTCTTCCTTTTTCCTTTCATAAACACACCTCCAAATGGCACCTCCCCTTTTGAGTCCTTCTCCCAGAAACATGGCCTCTCTGAGGCAGCCACCTCAGGCCCTGCACACTTTCAAGCTCCGCCCTACAGCCAACCCCGGGAACCACCATTCTGCACCTGTGGTCAGTCCTGAGCACCTGCTGTCGGACTGCCTCGTTCCGGGATATCTTTCTTCACACCCTCTGCGACCACCCTCCCCTGGGACACACAGGCTTACTGCCAACATTCTGTGGGCATTTGGTGTTTATTTTTCTATGTGCAAAAATCTGAAGCTTTAGTGTTCTGTTTTCTGGGAATGCAGAAGCTGTGGGTTACGTGTGACTGTATTTGTTCTTCTGATGATTTGAATTTTTTTTTTCCTTTTTTGGGCAGGTATATGGAAAGTTTCAGATTTAGGCCACTTTGTTACTTAGCAATGAAGTGACTGAACTAGGAGAGGACAGAAAAATTAAGGAAAAGTGTTGAGGGCCAATCTGTTTGGAATTGCTCTTGCTACTGTCAGATCACTTTGATCTAATTATAGTTCAAGTCCCAGGATTCAAAACCCTGTTTCTTCCTCAGGTTTCAGTTTTAATACTTGGCTTCAGCCTGGTTCCCCTGGGCTAAGGCTCAAATCCCTGTTTTAGTAACCCATCCTCCCCAACACTCTATCCTTCAGGGGAGATTCTGCCATGTTCTTTCCATGCTNATGTATTACAGTAAAAGATACACTGCCATTAAACCTCCTTAAGATACTCCCCCTCACTTCAAATACAATTACCCCATTATCCTTGCCACTTTCTGATGCAATTCTGGAAGTCCTCTTTCGTGAGTGTCTTTAGTTGTGCTGTTGTGGCTGCTTCAGTGTCCTGAATTGATTCAAAACGTTTACTTTTTCATGGTCATTTTGACTTTGGGGAAGAGCCAGAAGTTACACGGTGCCAGATCCAGTGAATAAGGTGGATGAGGACACACTGTAATGTTTTTATTTGACAGAAATTGCCCATACCAGAAACCATGTGTGACACAGAACATTGTCATGATGGAGGATGAAGTAAAAGACACTCATGAAAGAGGACTTCCAGACCTGCTTCAGAAAGTTACAAGAACAGTGGGATAAGTGTGTTTGAAATGAGGGGGGGGGTATTTTGAGGGGGATTAATGGCAATGTGTCTTTCACTGTAATACATTTTTTTTATTTAAACATTCACTGTGTTTTTCGATCACATCTCACATGTATTGATGGCACAATCCCTGACAAGAGTGCGAGGGAAATGGCTGAGAGAAGAATAAGGGTCCGGGGTACACTTCAATTTTCTGCTCACCTTTCAGGAATTCTGAAATGTCCATCACCTTCGCCTTCATCTCTTTGTTATCATCAAATAATATTTTTTAAGTTTACTCATGCATGGGCCCTGTCTTCTTCCATTCTCAAATTTTCTTCTTCACTTCTCTTTCTCTTCTTTGCTTGTTGTCTGTATACTGATTTTTCCGCTCTGGTTGACAGCTATGAACATCATCCCCACCCACTCTATCAAGCATTTGCTTTTTCAGAAATGGCATCCAGTTCGAGATGTAACAACCTGACACGGCGTTTGTCATTCACAGGCTGAGATCATGCTTGCTGGACAGAAGGAATTTATCATACAGTGAAGCATATACCCCAACTGTGCCCCAAGAATATTCAACAATACCCAGAGGACTTTACAGACGCCTGTACAATGAAATAGTGAGAAGAGGAGAGAGGGAGGGGGTAGGGAGAGAGACTGGCTGACCTTCCTTCTCAATGTGCACACGTTTATACCCTTACTTTGAGGACAAAATGCTACTGTTGTGTGAAGGCTGGAACAGACACATTTTGAAGATCTGACTAAGGAAATCCTTTTAAATAGTGCGGCCTCTTATCAAGAACCTCTCCATTCCACTTACCTCATCAAGACATCTCTCATACTGTTCCCTTTGATTTTCATTTTCCAAAGCCAATGCTGAATTCTCTGCCTGCAGTAAGATACAAAAATAATACAAATAAATCAATGAAATGTTGTATGATATGACAACTTATTCAATACAGTTACTAAATATATCTCCTCAGGACCCAAAACAACCTTTCAGAAGAGCCTGTGACAAGTTTGCTCTAAGTACTATTATAAATATCTCAGGGATGACTTCTGCCTTATCATCTTGTTTCATAGAAATACATTACCACTTAAAGAAATGTAAAACTTGGACAGGTAGAAAATCAAATCATGGCCTGCTGTGAGCTTGTTCTATAAAAAGATTACAACGTTTATTTCATTCTAGGAAACTATAAATATAAGAAATGTCTTAATCTACTTCATTACGACCTGTCACAGTTTTCACAACCCAATATTTGTTTAGGCCATAGAAAAGAATCTCAGGTAAATTAATGAAAGTGTATTTCCAAATGCAAACTAAAAATGTTATTTTCCTTGTTAATCAAAGACTTTTGACTATAAAAATATAATCAGAAATTTAAAAACTGAATTTTACTGAAGAGTCATTCTCCCTCTCTCTCTTGTTTTAAAATTGCTGCATTTCTTTTCCTCAGAGCTATGTGGGTATCTGAATGCCAAACAGGTTACTACAAGATACTAGGTTGAATATGGTTACTATAAGGGGAAAAATGAAATCAGTATAAGCATATCAGATTTCAGGAGGAGCATGACATGGTGACTTGAGAACTGCCCTCCATATTGGGTGACTTGGGTCCTCTTCAGCTACTGTGGGCCCAGCCTGAATCCTGACCTGTGCGTTAACCCTTCCCATGGTTGTGACAGTGACCACCCACCCCACTCCCCAAGTAAAGACCACTTGTCTTTACCTACCTCTTCACTACAACCTTCTTGACATTTGGAAGGGGTGTATAGACATCTGAAACAATTTTTTATGAAACTATGGTATACTTTTTAGGTGGTACATTAATCAACATTTTTAAGTTACACTGTCTTCTTATTGAATTATAAAAAAATTTATTTGGAAATAACTTCAGACTTACAGATGATTTGCAAGAGTAGTGTGAAAACCTTCTACCCTTTCCTCAGATTCACCAATTGTTAACATTTTGCTTATATTCACTCTCTTTCAGTGCGTGTGTGTGTGTGTGTGTGTGTGTGTGTGTGTGTAACTTGAGAGTAAGTTTCAGACATGATGCTTTTTATCCCTAAATACTTTTGAGGGTATTTCCTAATAACAAAGACATTCTCTTATACAACCACAGTTTAGTTTTCAAATTCAGGAAACATAACATTATCACAATAATACAATCTAATCTATAATCCTTATTCCAATTTCATCCTTTGTCTCAATAATGTCTTGATAGTAAATCACTTGCAGTCCAGAATACTATCCAAGATCAAGCATTGCATCCATTTGTCACTCATTCACAATCCTTTAATCCTTTGTCTTTCATGCTAATGACTTTCTTTCTTCCTTTTTTCCCTTCCTTCCTTCCTCAATCAGAATCTCTCTCTCCCTCCCTTCCTTCCTTTTAGAAAAGTGGAGGCCAGTTATTTTCTGAAATGTTCCATAATTTGGATTTGTTTCAAGTTTCCTCAGCACACTTGGCAGAAATAGGACAGAAGTGGTGCTGGGTGCTTCTCAGTGCATTAAATCAGAATCCTACGTATCTCATTATTGGACATGTAGACTTTGATCACTTGATTAAGGTGGGGCCTGCCAAATCTCTTCACTACAAAGTTACTATCTTTCTTTTTATAATTAATAAGTACATTATGGGGAGGTACTTTGAGGTGATGAAAATATACTATTCCTCATCAAGCTTTCATCTACTTATTTTCTCAAGCATTATGAGTCTTCCCTAAATCAGTGGTTACTTTGGCTGCAAATGATGATTTCTATCATTACTCTACCTATATTTATGAGTTTTCATTTATCATAAGAAAGTGCTTTTCCTATTTATTGATCCATATGAATGCATGGATTCTTATATTATTGAAAGAGTTGCAAATTGTTACTGTCAGGGTTTATTTTGATGCTCAAATCGCCCCAGCTTGGGGAAGGTGAGTGTCTTTAAGCTGTGTCCTTTAGACATGTTTCCATAATCTTACAAACACAGTCTTCCCTTTTTGGCACGTGAAAATGTTTCAGGTTCATTTGGCTTTTTCCTGCCCCATCGCTGAAATTGGCCATTTCTTCAAGGAATCCTGCTTCCTTTTAGTTGGGAAATGGCATCAGAAATTAAGATCTGAGTGATAGCATGTGCCAATTGCTACTCAGGAGTCATTGCTCAGTTTTTTTGTTTTTTGTTTTTGTTTTTTTCCGTGTAAATTGAGAGTAAGTTTCAGATGTGATGCTCTTTA